GCCTGCTCACAAGTCTGTCTAAATGTCTCTTAAACCTTGCTATCGTATCAGCTTCCACTTGCACTCCTGGTAGCATGTTCCAGGCACCTATCACCTTCTGTGTAAAAAATACTTGTCTGGCACATCTTTAAACTTCCCCAGTCACCTTAAACCTATGCCTCCTAGTATTTGAAATTTCCATCCTGATGCATCACCTCACGCTTGAGCAGATTAAACCCCATCTGCTATTTCTACGTTCAACTTTCCAACTGATCTATATCCTGCTATATATCCTTTGACAACCTTCCTTACTATTCACAGCTCGACAAATGTTTGTATCATCTGCAAACATACAATCAGACTACCTCAATTTTCAAAGTAATTTAATATGTTAGAAACAATAGAGGTCCCAGCATGCAGAACATGACTGGTCACTGACCTTCAGTCAGAAAAACAACCCTCCACAACTACCCTCTATCTTCTATGACCAAGCCACTTTTGTATCCAACTCACTATGGATCCCATGTGACTTAATCTTCTGGACCAGCCTACCATCAGAGAACTTGTCAAATGCTTTAGTAAACTCCAAGTAGACAACATCCAGTACCCTACCCTCATTAATCATTTTTGTCACTTCGTCAAAACATTCAATCAAATTTTTGAGACAGAACTCCTCCACACAAAGCCATGTTGACTATCCCAGTAAGTCCATTATTTTCCAAATATGAATAAATCATGTCCTTAAGAATCTTCTCCAATAATTTCGGTACCTCTGATGGAAGACTCACCAGCCTTTAATTTCCTAGATTATTCCTGTTGCCTCCTTAAACAAAGAAACAACATTGGTTATTCTCCATACCTGTAGCTAAAGAATAGAATAGAATGGAAGTTTATTGTCATATGTACTTTTCCATGAAAAATACAGTGAAAAGTTTTATAAATTGCCACACCACAGCACCAACATCAATACAAAGAGGATACAGAGATCTCTGTCAAGGCCCCATCTCCTCCCTTGCTTCCCTCAATATCCTGGAATAGTTATCATCAGGCCCTGGGGACATACCGATCTCAATGTTTTTCATGACGCCCAAAACCAACTCCTTCAACATGCCCTAGACTACCAACAGATCCCCCTCTAATCTCATCATCAACCACATTCTCCACCTTGGTGAAAACCAATGTGAAATACTCAAAGACTTCACACATTTCCTCTAGCGTCAAGCATAAATTCCCTCCTTTGTCCACGAGTGGATCTATCCTTTCCCCAGATACCATCTTGCTCCTTATATGCCCATAAAACACCTTGGGATTTTCCTTAATCCTTCTTGCCAAGGGGATTTCATGGCCCCTTTTTGCCTTATCTCCTTGTTTAAGTTCTTTCCTCCTTTTTTACTCCTCAAAGGCCTTGTCTCATTTTAGTTTTATAAACATTACATGCGTTTCCTTTTTCTTGGTGGCTAAACTTTCAAGATCTCCCAAATCTTGCCATTCTTATCTTTAATCCTCACATGAACATGCTGGTCCTGAATTCTCATCAACTGACCTTTAAAAGACTCTTACACGTCAGATTTGGATTTATCCTCAACCAGCTACCCCTACGTGGTTTCTTCAGTTCCTGCCTAAGCTTCTGTAATTAGCCCTTCGTCAATTTAGCAGTTTCATCCAAGAATCAGTCTTATCCTTATCCACAACTATCTTGAAACATATGGAATTACAATCACTGTTCCCAAAACATCCCTCCATTGAAATTTTGATCATCTGGACAGGCAGATAAGGATTAAAGATAAGAATGGCAAGATTTGGGAGATCTTGAAAGACCCCAATACAAGATCTGGTATGTACCCTTTCCTAGTTGGACTATCTACAAATTGATTTACAAAGCCCTCCTCAATGTACCTAACAGAGTGTAGGTAAACAGCACCAGCATGAGACTCAAACCCACAACCCTGAAATTGCATGCCTTATGCTTTACCGACTAAGCTAGTCAGGCCTGCAGAGAACTTGCTTTAAGTAAAATATATAAAGAATTTCAACATTTATTTTGAAAAGGGAAAAATGTGTCGAGCACAGGCCAAGAACTTCCCAAAATAGTAAAAAAAATCACAGTAAGAGCCATTTATAAAGAGGTTTCTGTCCTTCAAACTGTAAGATCCAGAATGTGGAAAAAAGGATAAATAAACAACACTTGCACAATACACTAAAAAAAAGCGAATTAATACCATGAAACTTCTGTAGGTATAGTGTCAACAAAATTCACAACTATTAGTTTTTACACTTGTGAACAAAAATCTTGTAGCGCGTTCACATTATCTTAAACATACAAGTTCCAGCAATAACATAATTGACCAAAAGTAGAGGCATGCATTAAGATGTAGTTTACATTTTAAAATATTCCAAACCAATGAAAATCTCTGAATTCATCAGCTTTTTCTCCAGAGGAATCTGTTCGCATATAGTCATCTCTACTTGCTGTGAGAGATCCCAGAGATATACAACACAAAGCAATGCTTTCCCAAACTTCCATGCTTCACTAATTTAGTGATCACAGACCAATGTCACTTGCATGAATACAAAGGTTTATGACATCTTTAATAAGCACTTAATATTTGAATGCTACCCATTCTATGGACTCTTTTGGCAAATTTTGCAAAATGAAAGGTTAAGGATGTTCATGTGAGAAATGGAACATGCTTTCTTTGGACTCCAGTTGTCAGCATCCCCTCAGGTTGGGTCTTGCAATGCCCCTTTTCTCTGCCCCAAAAAAGTTCTGAGCCTATGTCCAAGAAGAATATCCCCCTCCCTCAGTGCACTACCATGAGACGTTGCCATTTTCCTGCACAGCCATCCATTGACTGTTTAGGGACATTATCCAGTATTGTCAATCGGTTGGTACTATTAGACCTGCAATTTGGGTAACTCATCCAATCAGTTTTGGGCAGATCTGGATTCATGTCCCAGAGGTGGAAGGCTTATGTTTAACTCACTGCTTTGGCAGGCATCCGTTCTTCCACTGAGTCGAAAATGACAATCATACAATTTCAAGCACATCTAAATCTCTACCTTCCTGTTATTAATATTTTTATACCAGCAACAATGAGATAACATCCTTGTTTATCAGCATTTTCACTAAACATTACAAAAACACTTCCGTGTCAAATTCTGTTAGCCTTGGGATATTAAGAAAACTCTCAAACTTGACTGTCACAGTTTTATGGCAGCTCTAAGCTTTGCAGAACGCCCACGTGGATTTTCATGAACTTCCTCCAGGCCCGGGGTCAACACTTTCTTCTGAGTGTGTGACCACTTCAAGGTCGTCTGTTCAGGGTGGAATGAGCCATCCTCTTCCTGTCTTCTAAGTCCTTGTCTAATCTTTTGCCTTGCACTTTGGTTGGGCTCCTCAGATATGTCAATGCCATGCAGAAAACGTTTCACAATGCGGTCTTCAAGTGAATGAAATGTTAATACAACCAAGCGGCCTTGAGGTTTCAAGAATTTTTGAGCTGTTTTAAGTCCTTTATACAATTCATTCAATTCATCATTCACAAAAATCCTCAAGGCCTGGAATGTTTTGGTTGCTACATGTGCAGGTCTCTGAAGCAGGTCTTTACATGCATACATTGCTGCTGCTGGAAATGCTCCTGTGACACCCAGAAACAGAAAGAAGAAAAAAAGATCATGTTTTAAGAAGCAAAGTTAAAATAAAGTTTATTTAATAAGAGCACAGTATCCATGCATGATACATCTTCGAAAACAAAATATAATTAATTATTTGGTAGCACAGAACATTGCCAATTATACACAAAATCAAAGTATTTTGTCTCGCACTCATCAGGCAGGATTGGACACAATTAAGCAGACTTAGACAGGCAAAAGGCATACATCACACCTTTGTCATTGAGGAAAGGGTTATGGACACGGTCAATCCCTTCTGCATTCTCCAAGGCAATGCCCTGACCAATCAGAGTCTACCAACCTGGTTGTGCTTAGTCACTGAGTTTGACAATTCCTGCTGCATCTCCATGTTAATCATCAAATTAACACCTTCGTCTCATGCTTAAAAGTTGGTGTTCCCCTTCTAAGTTTGGTATCTTGTGCCCCAAGAAAGTCCTGATGAATGCAAGATGAAGAGCTTCGACTTCATGTCTCATTTCTAGCAATGATTAAAATATGCAATATGCAGATTGGACATATTATGAATTAAATATATTGCACATTTAATTTTATTGGTATGGGTCATATTGTAGTCACCTTTTCTATCTAATGGCTTACTGAGCAGTTCAAAAATGATATTGATAACATTACGATGAGTTTCAAATGCTAACCAAATTTAAAATGCAGGAGAGAGAGCACACATTCCCATTCCTACTGTGTATGTTTTCCATCCAGTCATATTCTATCACAGTGTACAAGTCTGTTTCTGGTGTCTTTATCACGCCTAACCTAATACATTGTGATTGCTGTAGAGATCGCAAGGAAATTGAAATTAGAATACTTAATCATTCTCCAACCATTCAATGCCTGTGATTCCACTCAGTTCTTGAGATTAACGACAAGACCACCTTCCGGATGTGAAAAGTGGAGTTATGGAAAGTGATTGCATCACCTATCAATTAAAAGTACGTGGTAGTTAAAATTAATTTAAAGCACAACTGCCCCCTTCCTGCACAGGTATTTTCAGATCAGCAGATTACGCAGAACATAAATTGTGGGTTCTTATAGTTTGTTTTCCCTTATTTTGAAGGCAGCTCACAATAATGTGACAGATTCACTTTTATGCCTGTCATGAAGTGATCTGACAATTACAGACTCACTATAAAGCTACTTTGACAGACTCGATTTTTTTTTACACTACAAGAACAAAGCAGGGGTGTAAGGATGAAATACACACTCATTGAACTGAATAAAGTCAAACACAAACCGTTCTACACTGAAGTTACTTTATTGACAGTGAAAATTCTTTTCAGTTAACTGTCACAAAACATGCAATAAAATTTAAATATTGCCTAAGAGATTCAACACAATAAACAGAAGAGTAGTTAATTGATTGCTTAGAAACGAATAATTAATTGGCAATATATATTGTTTTTTGGTGTGACTACTATGCTCAATTTAAAATGCAACTGTGACAAAATAAACTCTTCCATGTAACTGCAAAAATAGTATTAGTTGTTTTTAATTCATGCATATATGCAGAACCTTTGTACAGCGCTACATTTCAAACACTAATAATTTTTACTGCCAACACATTATTTTAAATTTGGTCATTCAAATGAGACGATAGTACTGCAGAGTAAAATAACATTCTGTTTTGTGTTTCCTTGTATATTAAAGAAAACAAAATGTGATTAAAACAAACCTGCAATTACTAGCTTTAAAGTTAAGTAAACAATTAAGCATTTCAATACAAAACCAAGCTCTTCTAATTGGAACTTCTTTTAAAATGTATCACCACATTAAATTTAAGCACAGACAAAACTCTTAAATACTCAAATGCTATACAATTTTTACATTTTCTACATCTGCATGACAACACAAGTTATTAGCGAGTATGTCTGACTTCTGAATGTAGGAACTCCTTGTTTTATCTGTCCAATGGCAGTGTAATTGATGAACAGCTAGCAAACCTCACTCTGCCTGACACAGAGATCTTCATTCTAGGATAGCAGGTGTTTTCAAATAGTTATAGTAAGAGTTTTTGCAGGCCTCATTGGTTTCTTAAACCTGCTGTTTAGTACAAAGTGCTCTACTAAAGATTCCCCGTGCTGTTTTAAAGCACATCCCCTTATTACTGAGCATATAAAACAAATGTTAATCTTGCTTCGCGCACCTCCAGTGCAGTATAACCTGTATGCCTCACTCTGTCTAAGCACCCTGTGGTCTGTATGTCCTTGCTTACTATGATCTGCAAACACAGCCTTTCACTGTACTTACGTACATGTGATTACAATAAATCAAATCAAATCAATGCTCAGAAATTTCAATGAAGATTTCCACCATTCAAAGCCAGATTGCCAAATACTGTAAGTGACATTCTCATTTTGATGGATGTGTCTGACTTCACCATCCTGAACTGCCATCATTTTACAGCATTTTTGTCTGTTGCTTACTGTTTTTTTTTACTTCAATGACCTCAATTTAACTGGTTTGTTTGCAACTCTGTCAGCCTCTCCCTGGCCGACACTGCTGAACATGAGTGAAATAACTCCACAGAGGCTGGTATCCTGTCACCAAGTCACCCTTTTTTTCACACATGGTAAAGTTCTTGACTCTGGTACAGCCTCATCAGAGTCAACGACCAGGGTGTCAGTGTGTCTGACACTTCTGTTTTTACCTGTCAGCCGTGGCTCCCTGATTGGGGCTGTTAATCTTGCCCAATCAGGGAACTCATATTCTCTGAGGTCCACCTGGCTGACCTTGTTACAATCACTGCACCCCTCCCCCTCTGAGTCCAAGCACACAGGCCTGTTCTTTTTCTTTTAGCTCCTCCTGGGGAGTTTTAGTACCAGGTCAGATTCCTCAGACTCTGGCTGAGATATAGGTCACCTCTTGCGTCTAGAGCATCTTGGAAGAAATTCATTCTCTTCTTAGCCCCTTCGTCAGGTGAAGTGCTCCGAAAGCTTGTGATTTCAAATAAACCTGCTGGTCTATAACCTGGTGGCATGTGACCTCTGACCTCATCCAGCCCAGTCTAACACTGGTACTTCCACATCACTGTCACATCCAGGTGAAGAGGGAATTGGCTCCAATCTTTTTAATCCCTTTGGTTTGCTGTGACAAAGATTTTTAATTTTTTTATTCTGCAGTTTTATCATTTTTCAATTAAAATGTAGTAACAGTTAAAATTAAGATGGTAATGAAGGAGGAATGTTATTACCATCTAACTGAAAAATAATAAAATGCAAAATCAAACACATGCATGCACAGACATAAAGACTTAAAAGGAGGGAGCAGCTAGTACAATAGGAAGATGAAGAGTTCTGATGAAGAGTCACCAGATTTGAAACATTAACTCTGTTTTCTTCCCATACTGCTGCCAGGCCTACCAAACTTCTCCAGAAATTTCAGTTTTTACTTGAGGAAGATAATGAGCATGAGTTTAGAAAGATTTGTATTCCTTGAGTTTTTACAATTGAACTGGAGGCCTTAGTAGTTAATAGCTTGTATCCTAAGTTGTAGCAAAATTTGTACAATCCTCGAGTTCCAGTGAACAATAGTTTCTATGATTTGTTTTGTCGCAGCACTGGCTTTCAAACATATGAGAAGGAAACAGGGAGGAGAGAGAGTCTTCCACTCCTTCCTGTAACCAATCCATTTTCTTCCTGTCTGCTGCTCTGCCAAGTAGCCACTGAAATATGACTCATTTGTGTATTTCCAAGTCTGGCTCTATCATCTTTCCAAGTTGGACTGCTGGAGACAACCCTTTCATGTCCAATATGTGCAACCTTTCATGTAAGTGTAGATTAAAGCAAGAGGTGTGAGTTTCTTGACACCTCAGTCTGTTGACTAGTTTCAATATTTTTAGATAAAATGGTTATTTCAGTTCATACAAATTGTTTACACCACATCAATTTCCTGAATTTGCCTCAATCTGTGGCCAGGTGATCATTGTGACCATTTTATGTCTCTGTTTCTTCCTTTTTAAAAACTACTTTAGCATATAAAGGTCTCAGATGCTAAAATTAGACAATGGAAGTCGAAAATTAATATTTCATATTTTAGCCACTGGGGACAAGACAACATTTCTTAAAAACTCCACTGTTCATGAAAACCCCATTTTGAATGGGGTTCTTAAGCCTGAGTATTCTCAAGATGAAAGGTTGTGCTTTAGAAAGGTTTTACAAAAAGTTCAAATTACCACTTCACATTTTTGTGTAACTACAACCTGTTCATATTTTATTAATTTAAAAATAATGAATGGATTTGTGAATGTTGGACTGAGTGGAAAATAACAATTTTGTTCATTGTCAGTACATAGATCAATGTTGAAACAAGGAGTGTGTTTGTTTCTGTATCCTTATCCAACATCATTTAAGTTGCTATAAAACTTTGAAACTGAGAATATATTATTTTGATGCAACATTGGTAAAATAATGCAGCTGCACATAGACATGAAATGTTTGATCTCAAGTGTGAAAGCACAAAACCTTTTTATGATCTTTTATTCCAAAGAATTTTCTCTATTTGTAGTTTAGAATTACAAAGGGGACTGTTCTTGTGGTTCAAAATTCTACAGGTTTTGAGAGTTACAAATTCAAAAATATAAGTGTTTCTTGAGCCAAAAACAGGAGAATAATTATCAAAAGGCAAAGCAATAATTTAATTTAACCTTGAAAAATGACTTCCACTGTTTCAAACTATAAAATTGCACCGGAATTTTCTCAAACCTACAGAATGTAAAGGGAAGCATTTTATAATTCCTTAATGGTTCAGCCTGGGCTGCGGCAAGTAAAACAGTCAAGTTACAAAATAATATCCACAATGTGCTACACTCTCTAAAATCTGAAGCATTTATGTCTCTCGAGTCCCTGAAACCAGGAATTCAGTCCAGGAAGCAATGGGTAAGTAATCTTGAGTTAGATTTATGTAAAACCTTGTGCAAAATTTCAAGAATAATCACCATTTGAGGGAGGCAATCACCTAGTGGAATTATTGCAGGACTATTAATCCAGACACCCAGGTTCGAATTCTGCCACGGCAGATGGTGGAATTTGAATCCTGTTAATATCTGGAATTGAGAGTCTAACAATGACCGTAAATCCATTACTAATTGTCAGTAAAACCCATCTGGTTCACTAATGTCCTTTAGGGAGGGAAGCCGCCATCCTTACCTGGTCTGGATTACATGTGACTCTAGACCCACAGCAATGTGGTTAATTCTTAACTGCTCTGTGGGCAATTAGGAATGATCAATAAATGCTGGCCTAGCCAGTGATGCCCACATCCTATGAATGAATAAAATATCTCTGCTGCAGCTCACAAAGGTATTCTGGTGCAGTAAAAGCAGCAGGGAAATTAATTTGGAGATCAGGTTTTAAGCTGCCTTTGAAATCCATGAAGAATTCCAAAGATCATCTTTGACATTTGAACATGAGATAATTAATAAATTAATCACTTTTAAATTTCCGAGTAGTTCAATACTGTCATTTGTCTTCCAACCTGACTGCAACTCTTTAGATGATTAGATTTAGCAGTACCATTAGCAATAAGTTGCTTTTCAAGTTCACTGGATTTCAATTCAGATTGGAGTGAAAAATATTAAATTGTATATTTATGAATATATTTGATTCCTTTCTAAAATATAAACATATTGTAGCTTGTATAATCATTCTATTATGTTCCATCAACAAAACTATGGAATATTCTGCAAGTTATGGATGCACAATTTTTTAAGGTTATATTTATCCACTTTATGTTTTCAATCTATTCTCCTTCAGACATGAGGGTGCAAATTTTAGAATACGGTTTTCTTCACTGCTTCAGCAAACCTGTTTCATAATAGCCAACAGGAGGACTGCTTATCAGGACGTTGCAGTCTCTTTGCTGTTGCTTCCTCATCTCCAAACCATTCACACCCTTGCCCTCCCCAACATTGCCACAATCCAAAAACAGAGAGTTCATCTATGACAGCAAACACAAAGCACTCAACCTTTCAATCAGTCCAGCAAATATCAGTTTCCTTATTGAGGGCAGCTGAATTACTAAATACGGGCTGATAATTGAATCTCTGACCGGGAATCCAGATTCTGCTCCTTGTACTGGGAAGAATTACTAAGACAACATTTAGAAGCTACGCATCAATAGAGAGAAAGTCATAAACACAGCATGCTCCGACTTCAACTGTGCATATTGATTCAACTCCCTCCCACATACTGGCTCAGTAACTCCCCAGAGCCAGTGATGACGCCATTGGCAGCTTCTGTTTAAGAACAAATAAAAAGAAAACAGAAATAAATAAGAGCATGATAATATTAATCGTATTTCTTTACAATACCTGGACTTTTGAAAAAGTAGAGACTGATCGTAATACTCACTTAAGAAGGTGGAAGAATCATCATTCATGTTACGGCAATGTAACATGTAATGCAGGTTTTCAAGAAAATAGAACACAAGATTATTTGCTATTATTTTGTTAAAATTTGTATTAAGATTAACTTGCTAATTTTTCAAAGAACAAAGAACAAAAATAATTACAGCACAGGAACAGGCCCTTCAGTCCTCCAAGCCCGCGCCGATCCAGATCCTCTATCTAAACCTATCTCCTATTTTCCAAGGATCTGTATGGTTCTGCTCCTGCCCATTCATGTATCTGTCTAGATACATATTAAATGATGCTATCGTGCCCGACTCTACCACCTCCGCTGGCAACGCTTTCCAGGCACCCACCACCCTCTGCGTAAAGAACTTTCCACGCATATCTCCCTTAAACTTTTCCCCTCTCACCTTGAAATTGTGACCCCTAGTAATTGAGTCCCTCACTCTGGGAAAAAGCTTCTTGCTATCCACCCTATCTATACCTGTCATGATTTTGTAGACCTCAATCAGGTCCCCCCTCAACCTCCGTCTTTCTAATGTAAATAATCCTAATCTACTCAACCTCTCTTCATAGCCAGTGCCCTCCATACCAGGCAACATCCTGGTGAACCTCCTCTGCACCCTCTCCAAAGCATCCACATCCTTTTGGTAATGTGGCGACCAGAACTGTATGCAATATTCCAAATGTGGTCGAACCAAAATCCTATACAACTGTAAACATGACCTGCCAACTCTTGTACTCAATACCCCATCCGATGAATGAAAGCATGCTGTATGTCTTCTTGACCACTCTATCGACCTGCGTTGTCACTTTCAGGGTACAATGGACCTGAACACCTGTGCATCAATTTTCCCCAGGGCTGTTCCATTTACTGTTTACTTTTCCATTCCATTTACGCTCTTGAATTGGATCTTCCAAAATGCATCACCTCACATTTGCCTGGATTGAACTCCATCTGCCATTTCTCCGCCCAACTCTCCAATCTATCTATATTCTGCTGCATTCTCTGACAGTCCCCTTCACTATCTGCTACTCCACCAATCTTAGTGTCATCTGCAAACTTGCTAATCAGACCATCATTTTCTTTCATGGGATGTAGTGAGCAAGCTCAGCATTTATTGTCTGTTTCACCATTTTAGAGGACAGCTAAGAGCACATAAAGCCATAATACATAGGAGAAGTAGTACACCATTCAGCCATCAGGTCTGCTCCACTATTCAATGAGATCAAGACTGATCTGATAATCCTCAACTCTACTTTCCTGCTTTTTCTCCATAACCCTTGATGCCCTTACTAATTAAAAATCTACCGTAGCCTTGAATATAGGTAATGGCCCGGCCTCAGCTCTCTATGGTGAAGAATTCCACAGATCTCCTCGAAAGATAGTCCCTCCATATCTGGTACCAGCCTAGCAAACCTTGTCTGGACTGCCTCCAATGCCTTAGATAAGGGATCCAAAACTGTTCACAGTATTACAGCTGTGGTTTGACTAGTACTTTGCGTAGTTTTAGAAAAACGTCCCTTAGCTCATACATCATATTGCTGATTTTTAATATATATATATTTCCAAAATTATTTCTACTGATGAAAAAGTTTAATCAGCGAGTAATTCAGTCCTATAAGAAACACTTGCATTTGTGTACAGCTTTTGACAACCACCAGCTGTTTCAAAGAATTTTGCAGCCAATGATGTACTTTTTGAAGTGCAGTCACTATTGTACAGTAGGATACACAATGACAAGGAAAATTACAGCCTCAAACCCTGATGCATGTGGAGTTAGTTGAGCTCAGCTGGGATGCATTGGACTCCCATGTTTGATGTCACCACTCCTGACTCAAGACAAGCATGTGAGTAATTATCATAAACTGGAAAACTGGCAACTAAGAAACTGATCAGCAGAAAGACATCCAAGATGATTTATGAAATTATCAGAACTATATAAAAGTTATAAACATTTAGTCTTGACTTTTTAAAAAATGATCCCTGTTGGTTTATATGAATCAACCACTTGGAAAGCAATTTAAAAGTTATTAAGCACATGCATGGAAAGAGTTCCAATGATACGGATAAAGAGGATGTGATTAGAACTATCTGATTATGGGTCAGATAAATGGTAACATAAGCTGGTTGTACAGCTTGGCCTATTTCCTTGATACAACTTCTACTCATTTTGATGGAAAATACCTGCATTACCTGCAGGACTCAAATTTTTGTTTTGACATATGCAGCTATGTTTGTCATTTCAAAGATAAACTAGACAAATGGTTAGCAAATGGATTCAAGTATTGGTGGAAAGGCCAGAATTTATTTCCCTTTGCTAACTGCTCCCAAGAAGGTGGTGATGAGCTATGATCTTGAACTGTCGCCATGTGATGGATAATGTAACTGCAGTACGAGCAGGAAGTGAATTCCAGACTGTTGATCCAATGAGTGTGAAGATAAAGCGATATAATAATTCAAGTCTTATAGGGGAACCTGTTTGGAAAGTGTTGTCAAAGGAGCCTTGGTGAGTTACTGCAGTGCATCTTGCAGATGCTGCACACTCCTGCCACTGTGCAGCAGTGATAGAGGGGGGAATGAATGTTTAAAGCAACAGGTTGGGGTGTTGATTAATCGGGTTGCTTTGTCTGCATGGTATCCAATTTCTTGGGTGTTGTTGGAACTGGATTCATCCAGGCAAGTGGAATGTATTCCTGTACACTCTTGACTTGTGTTGCATAGCTTCTGACTTTCAAGAGGTGCTTGCCTTAAAATTCTAGCCCCTGACCTCTCTTCTTCACACAGTATCTATATGCATGGTCCAGTTAAGTCTCTGTTCAATGGTAATCCCCAGAATGCTGGTAGTGGTGGTGGTTGGGGGTTGTTGGGGTTTATTGATAATATTTCTATGAATATTAATGGAGATGGTTAGATTCTCTCTTGTTGGAGATGGTGACTGCCTGGCACTTGTATGGTGTGAACACTATTCACCATTTTTTAGCATGAGCCTGTCCGATATTGGGGCTCCAGTGCATTCAGGAATGGACGGTTCAGTTTTTGAGGAGGTTGAATGATGCTAAGCAATTCAATCATTAGTGAACATACCCACTTCTGCCTTTATAATGGACAGGAGTTCACTGATGAAGCACTGAACTTAAACAGCAAGTAAGATTCACACTGCATATCAGTCCAAGCCTGGATAGCAACCAGGCACTGCTGAACATAAGCACAGACTATTCAGTATTTGAGGAGTTGCAAATGTTGCTGAACACTGCACAATTATCAGCAAATGTCCCCACTTCTGCCCTCATGATGAAGCAGCTGAAAATGATTATGCCTAGACCATCACCCTGAGGAATTCCTGCAGTGATTTCCTGAGACTGAGATGATTGACCTCCAGCAATCAAAACTATCTTCTTTTGTGTTAGGTATGACTTCAAGCAGAATAGAGTTTTCCTCCCGATTTCTACTGATCCCAGTTTTGATACGACTCCCTGATGCCAAATGTGGTCAAATGTGGCTATAATGTCAAGAGCAGTTAATCACACCTCACTTCTTTATTTCATTGTTATTTCTTTTGCATAGTAATTGAACCAAATTCTATCAAACAGTTGTTATGATGCATAAGGTGGTCATTTGGTCCATCACGTCTGCAGTATCTGCATTTTAATTTATTGCCAATCTCCTGCCTTTTCCCCTTTAACCTCTATCTATTCAGTTATTCAATGCCCTCCCGATCACCTTAATTGCATCTGTGAGGTGCGTTCCATACCCTAACTACTTGTTGAGTAAAAAGCTTTTTCTCACTTCGCCTTTGCTTCTCTTGCTAAATACTTTAAAAATATGCCCTCTTTCTCACTTAGTTTATGAGTAGGGCGGATGCTGACAAGATTGTCATTAACATCAGATCTGAGACATCATGGCACCAATATTAGAGACAAACTCCTCCAATCTCTTTCCACTGGTGTACAAGTGCTTTTGGGGGTACCTACAAAATCTCATGTTTTCTGCTGCTATTCCACAGCAATCCATTTTGAGGACCTCCCCTAAGCACAGCATACGTATCGCGTTTGGCAGGTCCTACAGTCCGAGGAGGACTCGTGCCCACCTTACAACTACTTGCCTTGATGACTCCATGAGCTGCACACAAGAAATGGGAATTATTGGAAGTGTTTATTGATTAATGCTGGTGACCTTTTAGATGGTGATGATGATCAACTTCTTGACCCACTGTAGTTGGTGTGATGTAAATACATCTACAGTGCTGTAGAAAGGGAGCTCCAGGATTCTGACCCATTAATAATGAAGGAATGGCAATTATAGTTCTAAGTCAGAAACAGTAAAGGATATAAAGATGGCATGAAGTTGCACTCTAGCCGGGATCTCATTGAATGGTGGAATGGGTTCAAGGGGCTAATTGGCTGACCCTTGTTCCTACTACATATTTCAGTTTCTGGTGACATCAAGTGAAGATGTCTATTGTGTACCTTACTCCAATTAGATAGGTCATTTTAAAAGAGTAACACAGGTCATTTTTAATGTCCAAATGTATATTTCTTTTTAATTTATAGTTTTTCTCATCAAACGTTCTCAACATTTAGAAATAGCCTCAGCTTGGTAAAGTTACTTAAGCCGTCACTTAAACATAGAAACATAGCTGATAGGAGCAGGAGGAGGCCGTTTGGCCCTTCAATCCTGCTCTACCATTCATCATGATCATGGCTGGTCATCTAACTCAATAGCCTAATCCTGCATTCTCCCCATAACCTATGATCCCATTTTCCCCAAGTGCTACATCTAGCCACCTCCTGAATACATTCAATGTTTTAGCATCAACTACTTCCCGTGGTAATGAATTCCACAGGCTCACCACCCTTTGGGTGAAGAAATATCTCCTCATCTC